GAAAAATACGACATACTTCGAGTTTTTCGTATTTTCCGACCTGAAAAAGATATTTGTGTAAGGTAAAAAGTTGTTTTTCGTGATCAGCAACTCTCACTCTATCAAATGATGTAAACGGCAAAAAAAAGTTTTTACTTGAATTTCGCATTGCCGGCACCTTACATAGATATATGCTTAGATCATCCATGTCGCTTATTGGTAGAGAACAATGATTTTCAAGTTGACCCTCTAGGAGGTATATGCCACCTCCACCGTCTAAGAGTATAGCTTTTTCGAAAAAGCAAATATATCTCAGTAATGATCTATCTCTATCTCACCTGCAAACTGCAACCTATATATCTCAGTAATCACGAAGGATAGTTGAATAAACACTGAACGTTTCGTCGAGTTTGATGAACATTTTACATATAGTGGGAGGTTTCTCATGGAATAACCCATCTCTGCTAATCAATAAAAATATTTATTTTTTGTTGTTACCATCAAGTGTCGTTGTTTGTTCAACAATCAGTTCATTAGTTATTCTATTTACTTTTCTTATCGTTTTTTGATTTTGAATAAGTTTATAATTGTAATTACCATCGTGATGGGTATTTATCATTAGTAATAATTGTTCCACATATTCAACTATATTAACAGAATGATAACTGTAATTGACATCTGCTTTATTTCCAAATTTATTCAAAATATCTGTATTAATTTTTTGTAATATTTCGTTTGTTGTTGGCAGTTTTATTTCGTGTTTTAATATACGGGCTATTAAATGTGTTTGTAGTTCGGCCAATGGAAATGGTACAACAAGAGATGGTAAGACTAAATAGAATAATGAATATTGATTAACATTAAACATATGCCTATACAATGGATATAAATAACGTTGTTTTAAATTATATTCTAAAGATAAATTCGGTGTTGTTATAAACGGAAATGAATAATCATAGCCAGTAGCAAATATAACACAATCGGGTTTCACACTTGTCTTATCTTGAAAATAAACAGTATCATTATCGAAATAATCAATTGGTGTTGTCATTGAAAATGTTGATTGTAAATAATCTAAACAAAATGGTTTTTTGCCAGCGAGTGTTAATAATTCTACTACTCTATTGAATGTAGCCATATTTTCTTCTTTTCGACTTAATACAACCTTTTTAACATGAGGAGCTAGTTCACCACATACGTCTATACCTGAACGACTTCCACCAACTACAACTACAGTTTGGTTTTTGAAATCCTCTGGCCGACGATAGTTCATTGAATGATAGATGGGAAATTTTCGATTACTATTATATAGCGAGTCAACCATTTTGGACGTTCGCGAAGAGAATAGTGAATTTTTTTACCTTAATTCTGTGCTCTAAATATTTTTGGCAAATTCTGACAAAATCAAAATATACGTTAGTTTAGTGTTCTAGGTAATCGAATGAAAATACTGATCAGAGTTTTCAAAATTTGGTACTAATTCTTGTGAAATTTAGCACGGTGCTGTGTGCAAAAATGACAGTTACAAAAGAAAAAACGACTGTACAGATGAACAATGCATTTACTTTCTCTTGTGCTTAGGAATTCTGTTCTTTTCTCTTACTTTTAATAATAGCCACGAAAAGAGAAGAGAACTGCATAGTAGAACTAACGGGTGAAGTTCTCCAAGTGCTACGTTGCTTTGCTGACGAACAACTTGTAAACATAAGTAATTGGATGATTCTGATTCTGATTCTGATAGCCGCGGCTGCTGCAATATCTTGAGTAATAGTAAAGCATGAAGACACCCACAGACACTTACAGACAGCACACAGACATCCATGAATGTCTGTGTTTGGATGTCCGTGTAGCTATCTGTGGTTGTATGTGTGCTGCTTGTGTAGCTGTCTGTGGGTGTCTTCATGTTTTACTATTACCCCAATATCTTTAGGGATCCACTTCAAACCTGAATTGCAGCAACTATCAACGTTTTCCTGCAGAGTCAATTTCTGACCATCCCAGTTTCCAGAATATATCGACGTATTTATGTCTGTAAATTTTGTTGACTATTGCAGATATTTTTACAAAACAATGTCATCTTAATTTAAGTTTCTTTTTGCAATCACTTAAAATGAATGTTGCAAAAATCAACAGAAAAAATTCACTTTAGAGTAGATGAGACATCTAAATATACTTGACACACATGCTTGACTCTTCTGTATGCTAGTTGCATTTTTTTTAAATACTAATGTACTTTCCGTAATTACAATAAAAACTTGTATATCATCCTGTCCAAGTAACGGTCCACTTTTTGTAAGTCCATTACGTTTTGCCAACATTGAAACTTTCAATGAACTTTTTTTTCTTATCATGCGACAGAGGGTCATACAGAGCTAGGCATCGTCTTATTTTAAAGAGCACGCATTTTTCTTTAAATCGGACTGAATTCTGAAAATAATGAGCTTTTTAGAAAAGCACAAGTGTGCAATTTTGTTTTTTATATCAAATTGTCTATGATCATGCGTTTTCTTGTATTGAAAAATATTGGGTACCGAAAAATAGGCTTACGCATCCTCATCATCTACTTTAGACGTCCATACTTTCGAGAATCCTTTGATTATCCGACATTCCTAATGAACGACTATTAAACCATTAATATCTGGTATATAGTATTTAGAAAAATGACCATTACATACGCAAACAACATCAAAATGTTCTATGTATTGACAATAATCTTCAGTTTCATTCAAAACAATGCGTTTTGCTTTATCAATATTACAACTTAAATTTGTTAATAATGATTGTTGTTTGATCGTTGTTATTTCATTATGTTTAGTCGTTATTGTATATGTAACATTGAAACCAGTATCTATTGATAGCTCTTGAACATGATCTATTTTAACATTTAATAATAAATACTTTTGTAATTGATGTTGTTGAACATACTGTAATAAATATTTTTCCATGTCATGGACATTAAAATATGAATCGGATCTATTAGATAGAAATGGGAAATCACTGTACTGCATAAGAGAACATGGAATATTTGTTAACATGTTAGGATAAACAGAACTTGTTAAATCTTGTTTATTGTTGTCAATTGATAAAACATCTTGATAATGCCATTGGCCACCGATGAATGACTGTCGTTCGAATATCACCGGTTCAAAACAGTTATTGTATTCTAAGAGAACACGGCAGCAACACAAACCTGTAGATCCACCACCAATAATGCATACACGTTTTTTTTGCATTGCTACTTCTGTTAGTGATGATTGTAATGAAGTGATTTTTTCTAAAATATAATATAATTTTTACACTATAAAGGGAAAAAGAAATGTTTTACAAAAATGTAAGACAATGACCTATCGTGAAAAGGTAGAATACTTGAAAAAATGTCTAAGTAACTTTATTATAGTATTTCTTTCTTATCTTTCTTGTTCTTCTTTCCTCTTATATGTTAAATAAATATTATTACTAACTACAGATAATACAATCGCATAATTTAAAACACAACTATTTCTAAAACAATTTCTACATCTTTTCGAAACGTCTTCTTTTCGTTTATATGACTTGTTTGAATGCCACCACATTTTACTGTTGTGTACAAAACTGTAATTTTACGTATCAACGAATGCAGTCATGTCAACGACTGAATGGTGGTTCTTCCAGGTTCTTCAGAAAAAGAGCTGAAAATCGTCTCTCAAAATAGGCAATAACTATTAATCTCGCCATCGACAATTTTTACAACCTTAAGAACGTAAGAGATTTACTGCTAGAAAATGACCCAATGTGATCTTGAGTGAAAATGATCGCAAATTCTTCCCTTTTTACTTTACCTTTTCACTTTCAAAGCTTCCTTCTGGTATCTTTGAAAAAAACATTACTTTTCATTTTCGCCACTAGTTCAACAAAAGCCATTTACTTTTTTCCCCAAATTTCCTGTCCGCTTTCAAAGTCCTTCAGCAAAGCTTAAACATACTAACACAGATTTTTCTGGGCTTCAAAACAAGCCATAAACGAGGGTTTCAAAAATATGCTAAAACAGGAGAATTGTCAAAATACTAGACACATATCACCATTTTCACCTACCTTAACACTTGAAACTAATACTTCTGCAACGTAGCTACTGAGAACCCGGATGTTTTGTATTTACGAAGATGGAGAATTATCTAGGCTTCAAGATGAGCGTTAAACGAGTCTTTCAAAAATATGCCATATGTAGCGTCCGCTTCATGATTTTTTTCGTGCTTGAGTGATCTTCAGACTGATCAACATTTCTCTTGATCTCTGTTTTTTGTTCTTCACACAGAAACGTCCTTCCCTGCAGTGAATGCAGCTAAAATCGTCTCCCCTGCAGGGAGTGCAGACAGGAAAACATTCTGCTTTATCTGCCGGCCGTCAGTGGAAAGGTTTTTATCCACCTGCAACTTTCTGTCAGTTTAAAATGCAAGTGATCTGCTCTGTTACAAACAACAGAACATCAATTAAAGTCGGATGAAAATAGAGGATGATATGTGGTGGTATCGAACAAATCAAATAAAAGAATTTAACTGCGCAGAGCACTGCATATTCGGAAAATATAGTCAGCTGCTGTTCTCTTTATGCTGTTCTCTTTATACCTAGCTAAGGCTTTTATAAACAAAACGTGTGTGAACATGAACATCAACGTCGATCGAGGGTAGATTCACAGCGTTTTTGAAAGATAGTTTAGTATCAACTGTGTTTATAGGCAAATATCTATAGAAAAAAAATAGAAAAATGTGCATAACTTCTGGAAGAAGAGCCACGGGAATAAATCATTTTACACTTTTTACAACCTCGATACCCTCGATCAATACTATTCATGTACAGTAAAACCTCTCTATAGTGAACTTCATCGTGAGTTCTCAAAAGCGTTTACTATAGAATGATGTGAACTTTAGAAAGATGATGCTTGTTTGCTATGAAACGAAGAGAAAGTTCTAGAATATCTGTTTCTACACTAGTTCTGAAGTAAGTTCGAGCTTCCATTGTACATCTCTTTTCATTTAAATGTATTTAAATTTTATTTATTTAATTTTGGTTTAATATTTTGATTCTGATCTGTTTCATAATCATTTCAATATTCTGTTTTACGTTTGAATACATTTGATATGAAATCAGGTAAAAAATTATATTTTTCAGCTAATTTACGTTATGATAAATCTTTACCATCCCTATTCTCGTTCATTAATTCAACTTTTTCTTTTAAAGTTAGCCTGCATACTTTTTCGAAAGATATTGTTAGATAATTGAACGATCAGGACCTGGAATTGAGTTACACAAGGACGATGCAATGGTTCTCTTTCTTTGTTTTTCCACTGGTTATTGGTATCGTTGAACATTTCTAAATCGACGATCTTTCACATTGAAACTTTTGTTGAATTTTTCTATCGATCTGTTTTATCCAATTGTAGAGAACATCTTTTTTATTAATATTTTACTCTCATAAAAAATTTTTAAACTTGTCCAGATTTCATTTTTCGACATCAGAATGTCTGTATTTCATACTTGAATTTTAGCGTCATTCTTATAAAATTCGTTGAAACTCTAAACGTTAAGTTCAATAGCTTATTCTTACGTGATTGATTAGAACAGATCAAATTAAATATATTCTAAAATCATTTTTAGTTCACGATTCTTGTTAGTAGAGAAATGAATTTTTTATTATCAAATTGCCTAGCGAGTGTTTTAACAACGTTTAGACAAGACTGAATTAGGGCGCAAAAGGAGATTTATTTATACCGAACTTATGCCTCGAAAAAAAATTGTTACGAGGAAACCACTCCAACTGTCCAATCGCTTTTTTCATGAAACCTAGTGTACAATAGGTAATCGAGTGTGTTGAATCCGAATATCATATTGGTTTGGGCTTCTAGGCCTCCGAGACCGATTTTCTGGAACACCAGCTTTTCAGAAAATCTAAAAAATAACCAAAGCCTTTCTTAATGAGACATGATTATAGCCCGCACATTTCTGATTAAAATGAGACATCGATCAACTCTACCTGACCTTTCTTTGCAAAGTTATAGAACTCACAAGAAAAGCCCTAAATATTCATTGTCAGCTCAAAGCTACAGAAATAAGAAGAAATTAATTTAGAGCTTTTCTTTTAAATCCTATAACTTTGCAAAGAAAGATCGTGCAGAACTGGAAGATGTCTCGTTTTAATCAGAAATGTGCGGGCTATAATCATGTCTCATTAAGAAAGGCTTTAGTTATTTTTTAGAGTTTCTGAAAAACTGGTGTTCCAGAAAATCGGTCTCGGAGGCCTAGAAGCCCAAACCAATATGATATTCGGATTCAGCACACTCGATTACCTATTGTACACTAGGTTTCGTGAAAAAAGCCAGCGGATAGTTGGAGTGGGTTCCTCGTAAATTTTACAAAATGTTTTCGTTGACATACGTTCGAATCAATGAAGATTGATACCCTAAATTATTCTTGATTTATAACTTCATTCGATATATTAAAAATAATTTTAAGGCTATCTTACCGATCCTACATCTTAGTAGTTCCAATCAAATTTCTTATAGAGATTTCTTATAGAGATCCAAATTTTCTCAAACAAACATCATTATCTCTTCTTTCGCAGTGAATAAAACATAATGTTAAATAAATAATGTATGTATAAGGTGTAAAATGATTACATGAGCACAATAAATACCAATCAATACTTGAAATATATCACCTGTTGGACGCATACGCCTTGCAATACCCTAAACAACCCGAATATAATAATTTTGGTTCACGTTTTGTTTTAATATATTTGGGTGTATTATCACGATTAATAACAAAGAACACTTAAGAACATAATTAAATAACAGGATAAATTCCAAACATACGACTAAAATAATGTTTTCATAAGTTAGCCATTCGAAATAATAAAGAACCACTAATACATCGACACATAAACAAAATAATAAATACCATGTTGATAATCTTTTCATAGATGGAAAATGTAGAGATAAAAATTATGTTTGAATAAAAAAAAGAATGGTACAAATACCATATCACCCTGAAATACAAATAACGTTTTGGTAATAAAGTGAGTGGAAAAGCATTCACGATGCATCCTTCGGAACTCTAATAAGGATAAAAATCTTTTAGGCAAGTGTCTGGAGGGTAGCTTAATGGAGGTCCACCTCCCAAACATACCTTCTAGTCTGTAGAAAACATCAAGTGCGGTAGATTTATCCTTAATATAACTCGTGGGTTGGATACGTTTGGATGGAGTAGTGAAATTTTCAATATTACCAAAAGTCCATTTTTTCAGCGATTTTCAAAAGTAATTCTTTTTAATATGTCATCTTATGTAACTTTCTGTGGAAGCATTTTTTCTTGCCGCAGTTTTACTCTACAATGCTTTTATCGGACTTGAATATTGACCGTCAATATTCTATTTAGCGTTCGAAAAAGTTCATATTCACTTCAAGAGGATAATTTAAGCGAAAAAATTCTGCGTATGCCTTCAGAAAAAATATTAGGGCTTTCTAGACACTAGTAAGGCTTTGTTTGGGGTTATCGTCTAAGCGTGCTAGAATGAGGTAGAAAGTCGCAATCGAAAGTCGTAATTCCATTAATATTTGACTGCTTCATTTGGTAACCATAGAAAACACACATTTTGATGTTTTGAATACGACGGAATATCTAAAAATTTCCTTATACAATGGAGAATTGGTTTTCATAGATATAGAAAAGCAAGATCGATAGAAACTAACTTTGTTATATTTGAAATGTAGAAGATCGACAAAGTTATAAAACTCCATATATAGTAAAATGTTCTTGTGGGATAATTTCGAATAAAACTTTCGCTACCACATCATGAAAAGCCAAACTAATTAAAAAATTAGATTACTGTGCTGAAAACCAATCATTCTTCATAAAAATTTTCATCCTATATGTATTATCAAAAATATAAGACCCACAGTTGTTTTTGGAATAATACAAAGGCGGGAGAAGATAGAGGCGTGCAGTTTTCAGCAATCGAAAGAAGACAATTTAACCTCTATTTTCATGAACAACACCGCTTTCCGAAAATATTTACAATTGTATTGAGCAGGTAAAATTGAGTACATCTTGATATTCTGGCATAATTCGAATGAATTTTGACTGAGTTATAAACCTTTTAATTTTACTCAAAAATCGGCAAAACTAGATTGTTTCACTTATTATAGATTTTCACCAGGTTATCGAACGTTCGAATTCGATACCAGGTCATAATGTTCACAGTAAGAAGTGTATCAATAAAAATATATATCTGTCCTATATGTAAGTTAAAAATTCCGTTGGTATTTTGCATGTCAATTTTCAGCATAGTCGATATTATGCGTAATCGAAACAAGTTTTGAAAATCGATGAAGATATTGTAAATAGGCCACTTTGTAGAGAATAAAAGAACTTTTTGTTTCAAAAATTTTGATATCAGTTTAGTCAAAATGGGACTATAAGCTCGCCACTTATTGAAACACTTATTTTCGCTTTTAACAAGCGACTTCCCAAATAATTTCAGGCAAGAAACATATTCCTTTGAGTTTCCAAAAGATTTGGCACGATGCCTCGTGGAGGTTACACGGCATTGCTGGAAGAAGATCCTGTTTCAATCTCGTTTATTAGATATCATGAATAATTAATTCTTGATTAAATGTTTTTTCTTGAATTATGAATACCTTACCAACTTTTTCTGATACGCCCGAATCAGGAGAGTAGACATTAGCCACACGTGCCTTGAGAAACTGTCGGAGAAGTTGAACTGGTTATAGTAACCATCGAATCTTGACGTCGTTGTGATTCTTGTTCGATCATTTGTTGTTGAACATGTGTGGGTAGACCAGGATGTAAATTTAACGCGAAGGGCAAAAGCATTTTTGGCAAATTGCTAAAATCGACCATGATTTTGATGAACATCGTATCATCTCGAACGTAATCACTATCGTGTTGTTGGATCATTGCTATAGGAAAGAATTTCGGAATACCAGAGGCAATGTTCATTTCTGATCTTGGCCGCTGGAAACTGTTTGATTTAATATCTAGTAGAAATGAGTCGATGATGTGTCTGTTTTGTCCTGATTGATCATACAGACAAAAGTTGACTTTGTGGTTAAACGGCCATTTGAGTATGGCGTCATATTCTCCTCTAACCAACAGAAAAAACAGAGACATGTGTGTTCGTCTTCCATTACCGTCCCCATACAAGTAGAGTCTGCAGCGCATTTTATATCCAGTAGATGATGAGTAGAATGGCGGAGAATAGATCGACGTGTCTCGCTCGTTTTGAGCATCGGCCATTTTGTGCGACCAAGCTCCTCGCGTTTTATATAACTTTCTCTGTTTTTGCTGTAATCAATCATCGCTCATGAGCGATGTGATTAACTGCAGTGATTAACTGCAGTGATTAACTAAGGCAAAGACAAAGAAAGTTAGTCAACATTAGTTCGAAAAGTAACATTCGATGAAAGACTGGGATCGATAAGAATAAAAATTGACCCCCTCACAGACGAATTTTCTATCAACAAATGTGATTCAGCTTTTGTTGGTGATTGATCCTAACATATTTTTTCAGAAACATTTTCGCACGGAAAAGTCCGTTAAACAAACTTTATTCAGTATTTTCATTATCATATCTCTTTCGCTTAGAGCAAGCTTCAGCTATTATACACCGTTCCATATGAAATTTCACGGGCTACAGAATGCTGTATAAACTATTGCGAAGAAAATGTGACCGGGTGGTCTAATATCGAAAATACTCTGTAGCATCCCAAAAATCATAAAAGTGAGTTCGTTTTTTACCATTTTCTACATCAAATTCAGAGTTTTGAGTAAATTGAGATTTTCAGGAAGAATCGAAATTTTCGATATTAGACTACCCAGTCACATTCTCTTCTCAATGGTTTAATCAACAGTTAACTGCGGTTATTTCAGCTGAAATCATAGCGACACAGCAGAAAAACTGACGGTAAATCTCATAATTAACCGGAAAAACGGTCGGTTCCGACCATTGGCACCAGCGCTTAATTGTGAGGTTAACCGTCGGTTTTTCTGCTGTGTCGCTATGATTTTAGCTGAAATAACCGTGGTTAACCGCCGGTTTCGACAACATGGGTGTCTAGCTCTTTATTATTATGAGCTTGTCAGATGACTCAAGGACTCATATGTCAATTACATTTCAATTATTTCTATATATTACAGCGATCACAAGTAGGTAAAATAGATTTACATACTCTGTTTATTTGGTATTGTGTACACTGCTTCTGTCATTTCTCAAAAAAAAAAGTGATTCACGTAGTCTTCAAGACTTTAAGATTCTTGACTGAATTTTGTACCGATTGTATGAGTGTGTAACTTGGAAAATATCAACGTGATTGTTCTTGGTCCGTTGTTACTCACCGAAGGAAAGCAAAAGACGAGAAAAGAACCTACTAAATGTGGCATAAGGAACAAAAACAACATGTACACTGTAAATATAAAAGCAAAGGAAAAGTACCAGAAAAGTACGTGTGTTATGAAAGACATACAGTGTACCTTTCAGAATTAGTGAAAGTTCACTAGTTGATCGTAATTAGCGCTAACTATCTAGCATGTCTGTGAAACTTTAGAAATTCAGAGACAGTATATGAAAAGATCAAGTATGCATGAAAGAAATCGGTCAAATAAGAGAAAATATTTCTCATTTTAAATGTCTCATTAACTTCTTGGTTTAAGAATATTCTAACTAAAACTTCATGAGGAAAAAACCTCAAAATGTAAAATTTGGTATTTAAATCGACTATTTCATAGATTAAATTGAAATAGTTCATTTTTTAGAGAATTTAGTTCTCTACAAAAGAAGCTATTTCTTTTTATATGGATATAGGAGACGAGAAAAATGTTAACAAAAAGGCTGTAAAAAACGTACCACCAAAACTACTGTTCGAAATAATTTTGTTTTAACATTATTTTTCATACAGTAATGGTTAGTTAAGCAATAACCTAGAACAACATATGATACAATATGTGATTATAATTGCAGCTGTTTTGAAATTTTTAATCATCTTTGTTCATTGAAAGAATAAATATGATTAAAAAATTCCAAATAGCTCCAATTGTAATCATTTATTGTGCAAAAATTATTGCCGTTAAAGTTACAAAATATTTACCAAATAAACACAGTATGTAAATCTGTTTTACCCGCTTGCAATCGCTGTAATATATGGAAATAATTGAAATGTAATTGACATATGAGTTCTTGAGTCATCTGACGAGCTCATAATAATAAAGAGCTAGACATCCATGTTGTCGAAACCGGACGAGAACCGGCGGTTAACCACGGTTACTTTAAGAACCGAAGGTTGTGAAAACCAGATGAAAACCGACGGTTAACCGTTAACCGTCGGTTTTCGTCCGATTTCGACAACATGGGCAGATATCATACGTAAGACTGGACAAAATGTTTATCAATACAGAAATATGATAGCACTTAGAATTGAAATTTTTATCTACTAGTAGCTAACATAAGTATTCGGACAGTGCACAAACTTCTTTTGTGGGTTTAATATATATATTATTCTTTTATCGCTTGATAGAGCAAGGTCTGCTCTTCATTTCTCTCTACTTGAAAACATGTTAACTCCCTTACAGGAGTTTATAGTCAGTCTTCTTTGGCATTATGTTAACTTTTGAAACGAAATAAGTCTTTGGACACTCTGTTTTTTCTATGACTTTTGATACTTCTCAAATACAAAATTATTCGGAGAACCAATCATCGTCACACTATGCTAAAATCAAAAGGTTCCTAATAGGAAAGACCTTTTCCTAAGATTTTTTTCTTCTAGCGCAGAGGTTAAAAGATATGACCAAATCCGGTGGACGAAATTTAGCGTTCTCAAAGTTTATTTACGCATTGCTATGATCCTAAAATATTCGGTATTCTCTTTCAGAATGTGATGGATTATCTTCACAATCATTATGTACCATACTGAATGAGAAGAAATTCACTAAAACAATCAATAAATAAAACAACTAGTATAAAGCTCTGTAAATGTTTTATAAACCTACAGAAAATACTTTGCTTTTTGAAAGGCTTTTCAGAAACCTTCAGAATCCAGAGAATACTTCTTAGTCTTAAGTACAGAATCACACTAAGTGGATAAAACAGAATGTATGTTGATATTGTGAAGTAGTTTGTATGGTTTTTCACCGAGTTATCAATTTTTTAATTTTTGATGAAAATAGTCGAATATGGATTATTTCAACTAATGTAAATCACACGGATGGATAGCAAAAAAATCTTCATCGTCTCTCAGAACATCTTGATATTTTAATAGAGTAAACAATTCTGCACTTGATGCCTGGTTTAAAAATGACAAAATCGATGGAATTCGGGATCAAAATGCAGCCAGAGCTGGAAATGACCAAAACACAGAAAATGCTCTAAATAATTTGTTTCGTCGTCAAACTATTTCCAATCGACTTTTTAGTCAAAATTAAGTATAGAAAACCCTTTTTCTTCTTCAATACGTTATTTTCTACGGAAAAACCAAATGTTTCCAAAACACATCCGGAAAAGCCAAAAAAATTGGCTAAAATTGGCGTTAATGCGTTAAAACGAATTAAAATAGATAGTTTAATGTGTTGGCCTAGCGAAAAAGCGCATTTTAGTCACTTATTGAGTTTTTTTAAGGCATTTCTTGCGTAAATAAAATGTATAAAAAAAACAGGACATTAATATTTGTTCAAGACGAGATCTGTTATGTTAAGCCGTTATAATCCATTATCTATGCATTAAAGGTCATTAGTTTATGAAAAGCATTTTTTTAATGCATTACCGTGCTTCAAACCCGCATTAAGTCTCAAATTGGAGTACATTATAATGCATTACTAAATGTTAACGCTTGATAATGCGAATACTACGTACTTTAATGGGATAGAATGCGTTATTCTGTCTAATATATTATCATTTATTAGTATACTAAAGCATTAAAATTTATTAAAAATCTAAGCGTTCATTACTTATATTTTCAAGTCTGTTATTATTAGTGATATTTGTTATGACATTTATATCGTTTATGTTCTTTACAATATGATTATAGTGTGCTTTTCATTTCACATAACTCAAGACGGCATGCTACAGCTGCATGACTTTCAAAATGTTTCAGAAGTCGCAACTAGGGTATAATGCAGAAGTTATAAGATATACTTTTTAAATAGATAGTATATTCAAAGTATGTCAGAATCTGCATACTCTGCAGAATTCAATGTTGATCACGAATACGACCCGTTTTGTTCGATTAGACAAAGTTTTCGCAGAGAAAAACGCAAAATACTCAAGGAGTGTCAAAATTCGCAAAATAAAATTACGTTCTGATGAAAACAGCCCTATATGGAGGGTTTAACGATAAATTTCACTCTGATAAAGAAACTTTGTGATTGAAAAGGTTTCCGGTGAAGAAGTTTTATAGCCTGTTAACAAAATTATTTGAACTGAATCACGCCGCGTCTCTCTCTGCCTTTTGCATATATTTTTCATTTGTTATTCCTTTTCGCTAATAAATGAGGCTGGAAGAGAAGATAGAGTCACATGGGGTAATTCTGATAATCGCCTAAAACTTTTCAGATATTTTGAGCATATTTAAGTCATCTGTCACCAGAGAAAATCAAGATTATGCCGGTACATAGACATTTAATGGGTTAAAAGCGTTTTGGGATAATTTGGTTTTAACGCAAGAAATGCCTTAAAAAAACTCAATAAGAGACTAAAATGCGCTTTTTCGCTAGGCTAACGCGTTAAACTATCCATTTTAATTCGTTTTAACGCATTAACGACTTTTCAATAGATGTGAACTTTTTCGTGTATTAATGGTATGTTAAATTTAACGTATATCGACGCATTAAAACTTTCGTCTTGAGTCAGTTAACGCATGTGAGATTATTATTTAATGCTGTTAAATGCGTTCGTTATAGCTAAGAAATTCATTGGACCATTTAGCGAAAAATCGTAAGTGTACGTTTTCAAAATTCAAATAGTGTCGAATGTACTTCAGTCTACGGGCTATTAAATGCCGTAAAACTTTTACGTTCCAAGTGCGCTGTTTTTGGGACAAATGTATCAGGAAAAATAGCCTTCATACAAATGGCCTGTATAAGGAAAAAGTTTATTTTTTAGCGGATCATGCATTCGTGAAACTTTATGTTTCATTCATTCTGAATCTAGACACCTTTAGCTATCTCTCTCTAGAAAAATTCATATGTGTAAACCTATCACATAGCAGGAAAAATTATTTTCTGAATATGAGATAGTGTTCAGTTTTTTCTGCTTTTTCGAATGAGACGTTGAATGAAAATTATCGATTTTATTGATAAAAACCTAAAAAATGGCGATTTATGTGCACTCTTTCGAATGAAATGTCGTAAAAAAATATGGAACGAAAACTAACGGTTTTATACATAAAAAGCTGAAATTGGTCATTTTTCGGGTGTTTTGGGCTTAGGCCTTGGGAAAACTTTTTTTTTTCTTTTTTTTTTTCGACTTTTCTCGAAAGCAAAATGACTTGTGAGATTAAAAAATTCTTTTCAGCCAAGTTTTTCATGCTGAATCGAATAATGTAACTTTTAGCAAGATCTATTTTTCGCGATTGACAGGCGTCCTTAAGAGCCATTGCCTGAGAGACACAACAAGTCATGCTCAATCGATGTCGCAGATTTGCGTCTGACTAGTCCTGTCTTGTTTAGCATGTGTGAAAACCTTTAAATTCAAATACTGAGTCTTTTCAAACTTTTATTTTCTGAGTTCTGGACGGTTTTCTAGAGTCCGCTCCATGAAAAATTCATCGTCTAAAAAATGGAGAGCAAAACCAAAGATTCTGTTTCTCCGCCAAGGCAAGTGATGGAATAGGGTTTCTTCATCCTATGAGGTCCATTGCACGGTCTATCCGATAATGAGATCAGATCGTTTTTACCTCGCACCCTTCAATCCGACGCTGAAGGTCTTCTGAGGATCTTACGGTTTATATTGTTTGACGCCGTTCTCGAGCATATGGCTTGGGTATAAAACGAGGTGTACTTTTTCATAGACACCCAAGTGTGAACTATCCGAATCCTGTCTCAAGAGTTTGGAGTCTTATGAGAATCTCTGGAAAATCTTTTGCGGTTTCCAGAAACTCGTTACGTTTATCAAAAAAGTTTTTAAATTATATAATTACAACGAGTACAAAATGACGTGTCACTGATAGCTTTTCAGTTTTTCTAAGCCATAAATTCGACAACCAAAAAGGTGAGAAAATAACAGATGTTGAAGCAAAAATACCTACTATAAAAACCTAATTTTTACAAGTAATTGCTAAAATTATGACCAACACCTCATTTTGTTCAGAATTTTGTGCTCTTTCCAATTATGTAATTTAAAAACTTTTTTGGTAAACGTAACGGGTTTCTGAAAACCGCGATAGGGTTTCTAGAGATCCTTATAAGACTCCAAATTTTTAAGACCGAATTCGGATAGTTCACACTTGAATATCTATGAAAAAGTGCATCTCGTTTTATACTTAAGCCATACGCTCGAGAAAGGCGTCAAACAATATAAACCCCTAAGATCCTCAGAAGACCTTCGGTGTCGGGCTCCATTTTTTAGACGCTGAATTTTCTATTGAGCGAACTTTAGAAAACCGTCCAGAACTCAGAAAATAAAAGTCCTAAAAAGCTCAAAATTTAGATTTATAGGTTTTCATACATGCTGAACAAGATAGGACTAATTAGAAGTAAATTTGAGACATCGATTGAGCATGCTCTTATGGTAATCTGTCGTTTTTCTCGCGCAATAGCTCTTAAGGGTACTCGATTCACTCATGAAACGTCTGTTAACAGAAAAAAAAAGTTTTATTAGCTAGGACAACAACCACATTTACTACAGACGCGAGCACTAGAGAACTGCGGAGTCGACTTGTTTTATTCCGATTCCAGCTCCGACTCCGTTTTTTGCTTCTTTTTTAATTCCGGTTCCAACTCCGACTCCGAGGGAAAATTCTAGTTCATTCCCAATCCGACCCCGAAAAATTCCGAAATTTTTTTTCTATAGTTTAGTGACATCTCAATTAAGTCAAGACTAAACAATGTACAAGAACAAAAATACGAGCGAATAAAAAAAATCTGATATGAAGAAGAGAGATTATATCCCGCTTTGAAACCAAAAGTCACCGTTTTCATCGGATGAGAGAGTGCTTTTTTCAATTGATTTGCCAAGATTAACGAGTACTCTCTATAATAAGGCATAGAGAAATAATACTGTTTTAAGTTCTGAACAGGCTTTTGTACAGTCTTGTTCAATCGAATCCCTCGTATTGTCTTCTTTAGTATATTCAATGGATAGCCATTCATATGAAAATAATTCTTTTTAGAGCAAAAATAAACAATTTTATTAGTCTTGTCAACGGACCCCGATTTTAACTCCGAAAAATCCTTCTTTTTAGTTCCGACTCCGACTCCGAAAAATATTTTTTTGCGATTCCGTTTGCGATTCCGATTCCAGCTCCGACGCCGAAAGAAATGAGAATGATAGAATAACGAAATGAACGAGACATCTAAATAAACATATATTAAGTTATCTGACTAGCGATGCTACTGCCAAAGAAAAAGATAACAAAAGAGAAAAATAACCATATCAGCATTGGGCTATGCCTGTCCACTATATACTTACACAAAAGAAAAAGAAACATAAAAAGAAACGTTTATGATCTATAAGGCTATAACACAGCATTATTTATGACATCATTCGACACGAAAAAACAATTCTCGCAAATGCTTTCCTACTTTAGAAGAACAGTAAAAGTTTCATATGTTTAGTGAGTTATAAAACCGCTTACATTCTTTACAATATCGTTAGTGTGTTTTTCATTTCATATAACTCAACACGTCATACTCCAGCTGCATGACTTTCAAAATGTTTCAAAACTCTCAACTAGAATATAATGCAGAAGTCATAAGGTATATTTTTTAAATAGCTAGTACATTCAAAGTATGTCCGAATCTACATACTCTGGTATTATTGACTTTTCAAAATGATTTATGCAATATGTATTTGATATCAGTAATCCTATCTGAAGAACTTTAAATTGTGCGAATGTTCCTTGAAAAAATGTTCAGTTGAAATTATCAAAAATAAATTATTTAATGAAAACTATCCATAATAACCATTCATCCACTACGTGATAATATAAGTAATGAACATTCAAATTTTACTGTTAGATTATTTTTTGACTTCATTTTATTCTTATTTTAAGAAATGAAAGTAGTGAAGATGCGAATGAAGTTTTTATATTAAATGATCCCACATATATGTATATATAGATACATAATGAATGAGAGATTAAAAGAAAGGGAGAAAAAGAAATAGTTCGACCGTATCGTTGAACTAGTCGGTCGTTTACAATTTCTAGTTCGACCGTATCATCGAATAAGTCACTCTTTCATAATTTATTTTATCGCTTCCTTCCAGTCTCTCTTCATCATATATCTATCTCTATATCTATATATATCTGTGGGATTCTTCAAACTGACTATCATTCAATAGAAAAAGTTCGTTTACGTTTTCACTACTTTCACTCTCTTAAAATAAGAGTAAAATGAAGTCAAAAAATAATCTAATGATGAAATCTGAACGTTCATTACTTATATTTTCAAGTCTATTATTATTACTAACATTTGTTATGGCATTTATATCGTTACGTACAAATACATGGTCAATTATTTATTCAACCGCATCTAAACAAAATCATTCCTCTAACAACTTAGAATGGTCATCTTCATCCTCCACACGAACACCAATTGAATGGTACGGTCTGTTCGATGATTGTCATCTGAGATCAGAAGAAGCATTATGTACTACACGTGAACCATATAATAATTTCGCTGTCGTATTTCTCTCATTAATTGGTATTATTTTGGTATTGAGTGGTATGCTGTTATCATTTATGATGGCATTTAAACCATTTTTTCGTCAACACTATTATATTGTACCATCAGTTTTGTTACTGGCATGTATTGCACAAACAATATGTTTTGGTCTGTTTGTACAACATTCAAATGCAAATGGCTACAGTTCTAAACTATGGCTAACAGCAATTGTATTCACATATACATCATTGGCTCTAGTCAGTTTTGTCTGTGGTATTGAATGTTTAAAACATATTGAACAGCAACAACAAAAAGAAAATGAAAATGAGATGAAAAAAGTGAGTTTACTTTGAGGCAAAAAAGAAGTGTGCTGTGGCTCACGAACTATGCACCTCGCCCCCCATCCCATCTCTACACAACTTCAGATCTGCTTCTACCAAAATTGGACCAGATAGTGACAGAATTGAACCAGAATCTGTCAATTCATAGAGAGGATCTGTAGATAGTTATAATAGTTCACATTCAGATACTGTAAGATCGGCCAATTCTGGTTTTGGAATTCTATCCGAACCAGATTCTGAACAGACTCTTAGGGACACATTTGAATGTGTCGAATTCTGCGAGTTCTAGTAATTTCCACTGAATTGTAGAACTGGACACTGGTGGTACTGTCAGTTCCACTTAGTCTAAGTCAGCGGTAAAATGAAGTTTGAAAAGATCTCATTTGTAGAAAATATATTTCTCTGCGTATCTCGATTATTTTTAGAAACAAGTAATAAAAATTTAATAAATCTTTTTGTATTTATGTCTAAGACACCTAGGAAAACTTTTCCGTAGTTCGAAAAATGATTTCATCGAATTTTAATTCATTGTTTACTTATAAAACACGTTTTCACGGATTTTCAGTTAAATTGTCACTTATTCTGAAACCACTAACGAGGGAAGGTCCACAATGTGACTCTCAGTTTCGACTGGGATAATTTTGTAAAGCTTGACGAACTGATTACGATGGCATAAAGCATTTTTCCCCTGGCCCTGAAAGACCCGATTTTATGGAAAACTAGTTTTTTAGAAAACATGAAATATCCGTGCTACAATCATGCTTCGTTAGAAAAGGTTTTTGTTATTTTTTAGATTTTCTGAAAAACTGGTTTTCCAGAAAATCGGGCCTTCCTGAGCTATGGAGAAAAATACTTTATGGCATCGTAATCAGCTCGTCAAGCTTTACAAACTGGTATATATCCCAGTCGAAACTGAGAGTCACACTTGTGAACCTTCCCTCGTTATTCGATTTTGATCAGAACTGCGTAAAATTTCTTAAAAATCAAATATCTCTGGTACAGCAAGGAATCTCGAAAAGAGCTTAACGTAGTTTTATGGTACGTATGATAGGGACTCGAATTGTGCGGAAAACAGGGTTTCATCTCTTAACACAAAGAACTAGACAGGTTTTAGAAAATAACTGATAAGCGCTCTTGCTACTATTTGCGACAATCTGATGCTTCAAAACTCTTCTATTAGATGGTTCATCCAATTTTTTTTTACAGAATGAGTTGTTATCTACGTTTCTACTCACAATGCTGCTGATTACATGATCGCTCTTTCTTCACTAATAGAGAAAAATGACAATCACTTTTTCGTGACTGACTAGTTTGGACACTGCGGATGTAGCATGATGAAGGATGTGATATATACGATGAATTACTTGAATGACTGAAACTGACCGTCGATTTTACGATTGCAAAGTCTTACTGCCTTATTCTGAGAAAGTCTATTTACTTGTTAAACATAAAAAATATTTAGTAGATCGGATGCGAATTTGAATGTTCTTTTATAAAAACAAAATTAATCTTTCTGTTTGTATCTCTGGAGTTTTAATTCATAGAATTCAAAAAATGGAGATAAATCGCCATCAAAATCAACGCCAAAAATGGACCCTCATTCAAATGGCAAGGTAAATAATGAGAAAGAAAAAGATGATAAGTCAAAATCAACTCCACCAGCAGCATCCGCCAATGAAAGCAGCACAGCACTATCAGCGTCCAAAGATTCAGCGGATAAACCAAAGCAAGAAGATGACAAAGAACAAGAAGGTGATACGGCTAAACAAGAACAAGCAGATTCAGATTTGAAACCATCATCATCCAAAGATTCAGCGGATAAACCAAAGCAAGAAGGTGATACGGCTAAACAAGAACAAGCAGATTCAGATTTGAAACCATCATCATCCAAAGGTTCAGCGGATAAACCAAAGCAAGAAGGTGATACGGCTAAACAAGAACAAGCAGATTCAAATTTGAAACCATCATCGTCCAAAGATTCATCGTCTGATAGAACGAGCCAAGACAACAAAGCAACGGAAAATGTTAAAGTTGATCAACAACAAGAATAGCTAAACCATTTGAATTCCACACCACCACCATCATTATCATCCAAAGGTTAATCGTTTGATGAAATAACAAAATACTACAAAGGAAGATACAAAAGCTAATCAGCAGCACATTAAAAACAGTTAAAAAGTATTATTTCACAGAGTTTTGGAATGAATGTTACAAGAAGAAAGATATGAGTGTAAATCTTTTTGTCTGTTTGTAAAGTTTCTTTTTTTCATATTAATGAAAAATTTTTTTCAAATTAATGAATTATTAGAATATTAAAATAAAGTCTTTTTTCGATGAGTTCTCTTTACTCTGAAGTTTAAGAATGAAAAGAATCAAATAGTGGTAGAAATTAGTTATGTATATTTTTCTCGTTACCGGTATAATACTCTCTATGTATTCAAAAAACGGATAGTTTGTTTAGTTTTATGTCAAATTGTTTAGAGTTACTTGAGCTAATTCTGATAATCGCCTAAAATTTTTCATATATTTTGAGCATATATAAGTCATCTTTCACCGGAGAAAATCAGTTTAGTGCAGGTAGTAATATAGTTTCTAGTCCTCCTTCTACACAATTTGCCCACATAGCTACAATGTGTTTATTTTCCAGTAAGGTACTTTCCATACTTGTATGAAACGTCAGTTTTTTTCTACTTTACGACGTTCTGGTGGATCATGTTTTTTTCAATAGTGTCTCCGCTATATATAGAGCAGTTCTCACAGCATATAAAAAGTCGTCATAGGTACCGTCGCCAGAATTCGTAAATCATATTGAAAACTTTTGATTATATTCTTTTTTCAATTCACGTGTCCGATGCAACGAAAAGAAGGTCTTGTGCTTTTTCAGATATTTTTCTATCGCATTGAAACCTGCATCAGTCAAATTAAAAGTATCTTTCAGTTGTAATAACGCTAGTTTCTTTTCCTCCTTTTCTTTATACCATTTGTTGTTTTTTCCTCAGGAAACTCCGATGGTTTCTCATTTACGAACCTAAACTTCACTTCAGCCTTTTTTGTGAGGATTAGAGAATCCTCACAAGATCCGGTCTCTAGAGACGAAGTTTTAGAATGAACTCGATGTTGAGTCAGCTGCTCATGTAGCAGAATACAGCAAATATTGCAATTAGCCATGCATAAAATAAAAATACCAATATAATATCTTCCAGAAACCAAGATCCAAAAAGGATCCTGAAGTGCCTCGCAAGATTTTTTAATATACTTCAAGCTGCGGAGTTCGAGTTTGTTTTATTTTAAACTAGATACCTAACTATATGGAGTGACAGGCGCCGATTTTTCAATTAAGCCTTTATTGTTTTTCGAGGCAACCAACAACCTTCAAAACCCGAAAAATTCTCAGTTTGCCAAAATACTAAGACTTAATACAAAAATCGACGCCAGTCAGTCGTAATTTCTTTTCCTCTTTTAAACAAACAAAGAATGAACTCTCTACGACAAAACCACTATTAAAAATCTTGAAACGCACTTCAGGTGTAACTCTTATATGGTGAAAACGATGTTTTAAACGCTGTATGAAATACTCCATTTTAGGACTTGTAGGAAAATGCCTGTAACTTTTTGGTGCAAGGTCACACAGAGTTGTGCGAGGTCTTATTTTGGCCAGAAACGTTTGCTCTACAACGTTGTGTGTTCAAAACAATTATAACTCCATTACTATTCAGGAAAAAACTATTATTTGAAGATCCGGTTTTTCGAGGCTCTTAGGAAACTTCCTCAAAAATCATCGAAAAATCAGTTTTGTAACGAAAAGCAATACAGATTCTGAAAGTAGACACTTCAGGCTATCTTTACATGTGCGCATCTCAAAACGGATTTTTTGACCGAAAATCGCCATTTTCGAGGGGGGCTCTTAAATAGCCAGAAATAGATGAAGTAAAAAGCTCTGCTGACTCTATCAAATATGTGTTCACGAAAAAGACAAGTCTACACGGATAATGATCAGACTGTTACATTATTTACTTGTGCACAAAAAGACTTTGAGAAAGGAGGAGGGCGGATAAGGTAGGGTTTCCGCACCCAATGGAATTGCATTTTTTCTATCAGAAACATGTCAGGGGATTA